CCTCAAATCATTAATTTAAATAAAAAAAAGAAAATACATAAATAGTCTTTAAATTTTTAATTCAATTTAGATAAAAAAATAAAAAAATAACAATTATTTTTACATAGAGAAAGTTAAAAAGTAAAATAGATTAGTATTTTTTAAAAAAATTATTACTAGTGAAAATAAAATAACTGTAATACAATCTCCAAAAATGTGCATTTCTAATTCAACGGATCTGGAAACACTCCAAATATGGTACTTTCCAAAAATTTTGAAGGATTATTGATTTATGGTATATATATGGAGAGGTCCACCGGAATCTCTTGGTCCGAACTTTTACCATGAAAATAAGACCGTGGAATAACCGAACCAAACATCTTTTTTGCCCTTGACATTGTTGGTTCACGAGTAGGGTCCACGTGAATGTCATTTCCTTTTATTTTGCCAGAGGACTCTGCTGTTCTAAATACTAAGTGGAAACTTTTCCGCAATTATCGTATTTACTAGCTTCAAACTTGTGTATATAAATTGGGTTAAGAAGAGAGTTATAGATAATTAGATATTAATCTAGATTACCATTGGGAGTTCTTATGCAAAGTTGTTGCAAAAGAGTGGAGGTGAGGTAGAAAGGTATTCTTGGCCAAAAAAAAAAAAAAAAAAAGGGTAGGAAGGTATATAGCTTCTCTTCAGTGGTTTTTGGTGCGTTTTTTAGAGCATCAATCTTTTGGGTTCTTAGAAGGTAGGAACAAGATGAGAGATATTCTCTTTGAATGCCTCATGGGTTTTTCCTTGGTTTGTTGATGATTGTGAAATGAGAAGAATGGAAGATGTGTTTGGCATTGTTTATGTGATGGGCTCAAATTCAGTGTTTTGCATGCAAAAAGGAGCTTCCTTTTTTTCATTTTGTCAATCGCATAAAGCTGATTGAAACGTTGATTTAGAATCGAGCATTGTTTTCTTTGTTTCTGAACATTTCAAAAAATTGTTTTTCACTTCTAGAATTGTAAAACGGTAGACTTTGACATTTTATATAAAAATATAGTGTTTTGTAGTTCAGACCGTACTAAACTACAAAACACAAGAGTCTTTTGTACATATATACTGCACTACTAAGTGGCAGGAGAAATCCTCTAATTCTCTTTGTTGGAGCTGCTTGCTGTAAGGTGATTGAAAGAATTTTTCACTAAATTTCAGCAACCAAGATGTTGGTATCAATGTTAATGTGTTGTTTTAATATAAATCTGAAAACTTTTCAGGCCGTTGATTGGGTTACATGCAATGCAATGATTGATTTTGGTTCCTTCTACTGGGAATTGGATAAATTGTTTTCTTCTTTCCTTTGTTGGTTAAAAATTTTCTGTGGAACGTCTTTGTTATTAGCCTGATTGATACTAAGATATTGAATTCTGGACTTGTTTTTTTTCCTATAGGTTTTGTCTGAATTAGTAAAGATTTTTCTGTGTTAATTTTTTTAGTCTTTTCAGGAAGAGAGCATTTGAAGCTGAATTCCATTTTGCCATCGAGATAAAATGGTTGAAGGGGGGATCGTGAAAGCAGACAAAACTGAATTTACGGAGTGCTGGAAAACAACATGGAGAACTCCATACATCATGAGACTTGCTCTCTCTGCCGGCATTGGAGGGCTCCTGTTTGGCTATGATACAGGTAAAACCAGGGCATCTTTAAGTTAATTTCTTTTGTTTTTAGGACATTTTTAGTTAAACTCTGATTAGTCAACTTACTTCACAGGACTCATGATTCATGATTTTGGTTGATCTTCTCATCATTAATACCTTTTGTTGTTGGAATGCAGGAGTCATCTCCGGTGCACTGCTTTACATTCGTGAGGATTTTCATGATGTTGATAGGAAAACATGGCTGCAGGTCAGTTACTCTCTATTCTATTCCTACCTCTATGCTTATGAAAATCAATGGAGACAACATCCATGTCTGTATATTGATTCAATATATCATACAACCCTTCACAGGAAACCATTGTGAGTATGGCTGTAGCAGGCGCTATTATTGGTGCTGCAATTGGTGGATGGGCAAATGACAGGTATGGAAGGAAAATCTCTATCATGGCTGCGGATCTACTGTTTTTTGTTGGTGCAATAGTCATGGCTATTGCTCCAGCTCCCTGGGTAATTATTGTGGGAAGGATTTTTGTTGGCTTGGGAGTGGGAATGGCTTCCATGACCTCTCCTCTTTATATCTCTGAAGCCTCCCCTGCTAGAATTAGAGGTGCACTTGTGAGCACAAATGGCTTGCTAATTACAGGCGGACAATTTCTGTCTTACCTTATCAACCTGGCCTTCACAAAGGTGTGTTCTAAAAGTCACTAAAGTTGGAAGGTTTTCTGTCTTTCTTCTTGCAATTTAAGAATATGGAAAACTTTAAATTGAGCACAATTTTCCCTGGTATTTTGTTTCAGAGCCCGGGAACCTGGCGTTGGATGCTTGGAGTAGCAGGCGCTCCAGCTGTGGTTCAGTTTCTCTTGATGTGTTGGCTTCCTGAGTCTCCTAGGTGGCTTTACAGCCAGGTAAATTTTGTCTTTCTTAATATAATTATCTCACTAGTTCTTGTTTTTTATTAAATTGAGCTGCGATTTGCATCACATGAGTTGTGAAACATATAAATTGCTTATTTCTAGTTGTCCTCTGCCAACATGACCTTGCTATGTTTTCATGTGGTTGGATAACAAGGACCACACTTGTTGTTAAGGGGATTCTTCTATGTCCTCTCACCGAAGGTGGTTCCATAGAAAGTCTAATGACTTTCTTGAATGGGTTATTGAATTTGTGCATCCCTTTTCACTAAGATTACTCAGACCATATTTTATGGCAAAAAAAGATGATTTCAAAACCATTCCTTGTTCCCCACCCCCCAAAAAAAACAAAAAAGGAGATTCAGAAAAAGTCAAAACACTCTAACTATTAAAACAAAAAAAAATAATACTAATAAATTTTCTTCTCATGTTATTCCCACTTGTGTTATCAGAACAAGGTAGAAGCAGCTAGAGACGTGTTAGAGAAAATATATCCCGCAGATGAAGTAGAAAATGAGTTGAATGCCTTGCAACAATCTCTTGAAGCTGAGAAGGCTGATGAGAAAGCTATTGGGGATAACATATTTGCTAAGGTGAAGAGTGCTTTGAGCAATCGTGTGGTCCGAACTGGTCTCTATGCAGGTATCACCGTGCAGGTGGCTCAGCAATTTTCGGGAATCAACACTGTCATGTATTACAGTCCAACCATAGTTCAGTTTGCCGGATTTGCCTCAAACAAGACAGCATTGGCACTATCTCTTGTCACTTCTGGTCTCAATGCTTTTGGCTCTATTATTAGTATGCTTTGTGTTGACAGATTTGGAAGGAAGAAGTTGATGATCATTTCTATGATTGGAATCATTTCTTGCCTTGTATCATTATCTATTGTGTTCTTTGAATCTGCTAGTCAAGCTCCCAAAATTAACCAATTACAATCCTTCCACTTTGCGCC